GGGTAATCTACTCCTGTAGTGATACTGCCTCGGAAACCCAAGGAGGGGTCGCTATGAGTTGGGTCCGACTCGATGGCACATAACAACAACAACATACAGAAGTGGATTAGTCACCAACTAGTGGAAAAACCTGAACAAAAACAGTAAGAACAGAGACAGTTGGAGCTGTGGATTGTCAGCTACTCTTATGGGACCAACAGCCTGAATATTTCCAAGTGGTGTTGGGACCTTAGAATTGACCTAAAAATCAGCTCTGGTCACCAAGGGCTACAGAGATGATCGTGCTGGTGGCCTATGAAGGGAAACAGCAAGGAGGGAGACAATCTGAGCTGTTGACTTTCCACTGTCTGGAGGCCGCAGCCATTTAAATTGTTAACACACAGCAGCCATTTTGGATATTTAAAGTGACTGACAGCACAGCCATTTTGAATCTTTACAAGTGGCAACCATTTTGGATTTTAAAGTGATAGCATCTCATTTGGATTCCAGGGACCTAAGAATAGGTTCTACTTGCCAAGGTTGGCAGGGACATATGAAAGGCTGACAACAGGAAAGGAGACAGGTGGTGAGTGTTTAAGTGCTGTCAACTAGTGACTAGAGGAGCACAGTACCCTGCTTGTGTAGATAACATACAAACAAAACAAAGAAAACAAAACTCATGGGCAAGTCACTCCAACAAACAATCACCAATTAATTAAACACAAAAACATCACAATGCCTTGGAGACAACAGAGCATTACAGTCCACACAAAAAAGCAAGATAAAGCAGGAGAAACAAGGGACCAGGATACAGACCCAAAACATATCCCTGAGGAAGAGGAAGCATTGGAACTCCCTGACAAGGAATTCAAAAGAATTATATCTAGGAATCTTCAACAAATTGAGAGACAGATCAAGGAAAACAAACAGAAAACCCTAGAACAATTTCAAAAGACAATACAAGAACGAAATGACAAAATAAATGAAAAATTAGAAATGATACAAAATCTACGGTTCAAACCCACCAGCCACTCCTCGGAAGGAAGGTTGGGCAATCCTACTTCCGTAGTGATACTGCCTCGGAAACCCAAGGAGTGGTCGCTATGAGTCGGGGCTGACTCAACGGCACATAACAACAACAACAAAATCTACACACAGAAATCCAGAAGATTAATACTAAATTTTCAGACATAGATTAGGCATTGAATGGGCAAAAGAGCAGAACTGAATCAATGGAAGACAGAATTAGGGAGATTGAAGGCAAATACCTGAACACTTCTCTGGAAAGGAATAAATCAGAAAAAAGATCAAAACAAAATAAAGAAAGCCTAAGGTTCATGTGGGATACCATCAAAACGATTAACCTACATGTCATTGGAATTCTAGGACAGGAAGAGACAAATAAAACCACTGAGAAAATTGTCAAAGATTTGTTGGAAGAGAATTTTCCTAGTATGATGAAAGATGAGGATATATTCATTCAGGAAGTCCAATGAACCCCAAACAGGATAGACCCCAAAAGAGAACCACCCAGAGAAATCATCATCAAACTTACCAAAATCAAAGACAAAGAAAGAATCATGAGAGCCCCATGGGAAAAACGAAAAGTTACCTACAGGGGGGCAACCAATAAGACTAAACTCAGATTTCTCAACAGAAAACATGCAGGTGAGAAGACAATGAGATGGTATATATAAAACACTGAAAGAGAAAAATTTCCAACCAAGAATTATGTACCCAGCAAAATTGTCCCTCAAATATGATGGTGAAATTAGGACATTTCCAGATAAGCAGAAATTAAGGGAATTTGTTAAAACAAGACCAACCTTACAAGAGATACTAAAGGGAGCCCTTTGGACACAGAAGCAACAACAGCCAACAACAACTGACCATTAACACACATGATGATACAACTCAGAAACCAACCCAGCTATGGAAGTATCCAAAGTAAATAAACCTACAAGACTATAAACAGTGAGCCACAGACATCAATTGATAAATGAGGACAACTACAAACCAAAAAGAGGGAAAAAACTGTGTCATTACAGAACTGCTAGATGGTAGGGAAGTCAAGACAACAGACTGTTCTAAACTTGGGAAGAAAACTGTAAATCACAGAGTAACCTCAAAGAAAAATGACAAACCTTCACATCAAAAAAGAGGACCAGCATAAATATTCAGCAAATATTAAAACAATAGCAATGAAGAAAGTGACAACACGATTCATAAACAAAATAAGCTCAGCATAGAAAATTATGTGGAACAAAGAAATCGACACCACGAAAAAGCACATAACAAAAATGACAGCAACAAATTCATATTTGCTGATAGTTACATATCTGGCAAGGGACTTATCTCTAAGATTTATAGCAGAAAAGTGGATGACCAAACTACAATACATACACATAATGGAATGTTATGCAGCACGAAAGAATAATGTAGAGTCTGAAAAACACCGCATAAGGAAGACATTATGCTGAGTGAAATAAGTCAATCACAGAAGGACAAATATAGTATTAGTTCCTTGTTGTGGAGGGTCAAGAAAAGGTTTATATATACCAAAGAAGACTTTCTTTGTTGGTTGCCAGGGGTGGGAGGGGAGGGAACACTACAAAAAAACACGCAAAACACTGACCCATGTCACTTTAGTTTTATGTATTTCACTGTACATAAATTATATTTCAATAAAATGCATTTTAAAAAAAGACATGGGTATAATAAAGTCATTAGAAACTCTAATCTTTGATGCAACTGATGGGCAAAACACAGTGGGCCGCCTGCTTGAGGTATGTCCATCAGTCCACACATCTCCAATTCCATCCTAGTAATTCCTCTCCAAACTGACTCTGTTTGCATGAAATTTATACTCATTGAATCACGGAATTTTAGAGAAGAGAGGGGCTTTATAAGTGATCTAGTGTAAGTGTCTCAGAAAAATGAAGAAATCCAAGCCCAGATGGCTGAGTGATTTGTCCAGGGAATGTAGCCAGTTGATTGACTGCTCTTTTCACTCAACCGTGTTGCCTTTCAAATAACAATTTTTGCAAAATAATGTATGTCCCAATAACTTTATTCAAATTGCTCTTTTCATTTTCATTTCCATTTTTCTTTGAATTCTCTCTTTTTCTAAACTGAAGTCTTTTGACTACTATATTTTACAGATTGAACAAAAGCGTAATTAAGAATATTAATAAATATTTTTAAAGGGCCAAAGTAATAAATACCTGGGCTTTGACATGCCCTTAACATAAGAACAGGATCGATTCATTTTATGTAATTTTTTTAACAACTGGAACCATAATACCATTTAAGTGATGTTTTATTTTCTCACTCATTCCCTTTAACCAGGATGACGCTAAGCCCGATTTTAAAAGCTTACATCCTTTCTAGCTGTGGTCAATAATTCTAATCCAATGGTAAATATTGCTAATTTCAGAAGTAATATTTTTAAAGCATAAAAACCAAAGGATGTAATCTGCTGAATAAAATTCAAAGAAAGCTTGAATAATCTTTTAATCACAGAGTTTTATTTGCAAAACTTTACTGAGAGCAAAAACTGTAATGCTGATTTGCTGACTCTATTTATACAGAAACCTAGTCATGTGAGTTGGATTCCTATGTGATATGCCCCTTTCATCAAATAACTTAAGCCTATTAACAAATGCTTTGATAATACTTGGTCCATGGAGATTTCCACTAATTGCCCTGTGCTTTTAACAGTTCCAAATACATATTACAATTGTTTATTATAAAACTGACTGGAAAGCAGTAGCTGCGTGCCTCACATCAGGCAAATGAATATTAGGATACATAAAGAAGGGACTGTTCATCTATATGATTATATAAGGACAGGGCCTTTCCAATGCAAAGTAAGACATATCAGTCATTCCGGCCTGTTAAATACATAACCATAATTCTAGGTGTGGGAGAAAAATGCAAGGCTTTAAATACATGGTGATTGACACTGATCTAAAAGGACAAGAATCCCAGTGAACAAAATGAAAGGGAAGATCTCAAGCCCTCATTAAATGCTATAAGCATTTGGGAGTAGAAAACATTATCCTAGAACCTTCCATAACATCTGCTAGAGCTCTGGCATCTGACAGCATTGAATAGATATTTATTGGTTGTTCATAACATGGTATTAGACTTACAGCACTGACAAGAATAAATTCCAAAATTGCAATAGTTATTGAATAAATGGGAAGTTGGGCAGTCAGATGGAAATACTTAATATTTCAAACCAGATAACCTACGTTTCAATCCTGGTTTGCACTACCCAGCTGTGCTGTGTTGAGCAAGTTACTGAATCTCTTTGAGCTTCAAGTTCTTTGTCTAGCAAATGTGGATAACTATACCTAATCTGTAGGGTTCTTAGGTTAAAATGAAATAGTGTACAGGTCCCCTCATACAATGTCTGGGACAAAAAAAAGTGCTCTATGACTGTAGCCATCATACTCTTTAGGCAGAATCATGAACTTTAAAAAACAAATATCAAAATATCCATTACTTAAATGTTCAGTCTTTCTTTACAAGCTATCTGTACCTTGACACATGATTATCTGCTACAATAAACCAAAAAACCAATCCCACTGCTGTTAAGTGAATTCCAACTCACAGAGACTCTAAAGGACAAAGTAGAACCACTCCATAGGGTTTCAAAGGCTGTAAATCTTTTCAGAAGCACATGGCCACATCTTTCTCCTGAGGAGTGACTAGTGGGTTCAAACCACCAGCCTTCTGGTTAGCAGCCAAGAGCTTAACTACTGTGCTACCAGGGCTCCTATCTTCTACAATAGATTTATATTTATTAAGGCAGTAACAAAGATTGATGAGTATGCACTGCAGTAGAATATAATAACTGCGATAATAATACCATTATAACTACCAATCCTCGTTTTCTGAAAAAGAACTATTCTGCCCATTTATTAATCAGCTGCAAAATACTTGTATAGATGCACATTGTACTTATAAGAAATAAATGTTTTATATCCCTCTATGCTATGAGCCCATTCCCTTACCAGTAACTTCCAGTGGACGCAGGCATATTGCATCCAAAAAGTAACATATGATGGACAGTATCCATGCTGGCACGAGGTTTGAAGTCAACTGTGAGAGAAAATGACAGATGAATGTTAATGCAAGTTACAGTTCTGTACACAAATGTCACAAGAAAACACATCTTTGAACAGTAGAATAGCCATACAACAAAGATGTTTCAATGCTCTCTTCATAGAACGCTCTTGTTGTATTGAGTATCTTATTCCATGAGTGTGAATTAATAATTTGATTTAGTAGGATATTAAGGTGTTATATAATAAAAGAAGAAAATAATAATAGCTAAATATTATACATATATCTCTTTTTTAAATGAAAGACCCCTTTTAAATTGGTGACAGTATTATCTAGGTATAAAACGAAAGCTCCAGGCTATGTATGCACAATACATTCCCTTCTAGATTTCCATAGAGTGCTGAGTATTATAAAACACAGCACAAAACTGCAGAGAAACAGAAACCACAGCAAATAGTCAAAACATAAGCAAAAGGATCCATAACCCAATTTTATTACCATCTAACAATAATAACAGTAGGCACTGGGATGTACATGGAGGAATGATTTACTAAGAAAGAAAAATAAAAGTTGAAAATATATCTTGACAGACATAGAGAAGACTTAAAATTACTCTCAAGGATGAGCACTGTGCACTTGTTAGAGGGATACTGAAACTCATACAAGTCATTTTTCTAACTCTTCTAATAACTGTGGTTGAAAGACATTAAAATAAAAAAATAAATAATGGGAAAACAAAGAGAAAATTAAAAAATAAATGACATCATTACCTATGATCAACATTGAGTAAGAGGTCCCTTTCCTGGTCTGGCTTTTGCTCATCTTCTTTGATCCTCATAAAAAATGCTGCCCAGTATCCAATAGCAGTTTATAAGTCATCTTTACTCATACAGTGCTAACTACTCTAAAATGATCTTAGGTCTCAGTTGTTTGCAGAGGTGCTTTTAGCCCTTGTAGTCTGTCTGATAAGTTAATATCATTTATTGCCAAAATGTGTAATGCAGAGCTGCCGAGACACCAGGACACGGAGTTGTTTCAGAGAAGCAGTTTATTAGCACTCCCGGGTGAGGTTCTCATGCCCTAGCATCAGGGCCAGAGAAGTTGCACCCCCGGGCAGGGAGGATAGATTCTTATAGACACAGAGAGGACCTAATTGGGGACACTAAGGAAATGACAGGGTCCTCCAAGGAAACGACAGCGTCCAATTAGCTGTTAGCACAGGTCTGCACCTAATTAGCATGAAGGGGCTTCACAGGAGGAAGTTTGTCATTGCATGGGACTTTCCAGCTGGGCGGGTTCTGTCACTTTGGTTGTCTTATCAGGCTGTCTCATCAGGGCCTGACACCTGGAGGAAGCTGCCAACTGACATATTGGTGGCTTGGGTTTACTTCGGCCTAACAAAATGCGTATGTGTGACTTAAGTATCTACAAATTTTAAAATGTGTTACGTCAAACTATAGAATCATGACTTTCAAAATGTGGCTAACCAGAAAACACAGGATACCTAGTGTGTGCTATCTTGATTTATAACTTTCAAGGGAAATATATCTTTCATTAACTGTACTGAAAAAATAGAAGGTAAAACCTAACCACTAAATCTTGAGTTTTTCATAACATCATTTAAAAAACTAACAAAGAGACGATGGCTGGAAAATGGATGATATAGTTTGAGGCTTTGTTTCTATTACTAGACAAAATGGTAAGCCTTGAAACAGAAGATACCTTGGAAGGAAAGAATCAATTGGAAGTTAAAACAGTTCACAAATAAAAGCAAATCATATTGTTACCAAGCCTAAATTTGTTAGCAAGAAAAATGGAAGAAAAAGAGGGATTCTATCTGTACTGACTGACTTACTCTCAAGCTGAATGAAGAATGTCCTTCCTCCCAGCTAGTACTCCATAGATCATTCCTTCCAGAAGTGCAACTGAAAAAGGCCTGAGATGGGAGTGTCAGGTCTTTATTTGTCTTTTACTTATCTTAAAGTTATTTTGGTATATGATGTAACTTGTTACATTCATTTTTACCAAATTGCTTATAAGATTCCATGGACATCCACAATGTTTTCTGACTGCATCCTCTTCCCTCTTTTTGTACGTAAACATCTCTTTCTCAATCCATGAGGGCTTGTCAAATCAAAGACCCAACTCCTCTGCTTTTTCTGCACTTACGGATGATCACACTGATTTCCCTCACTGGATTGTTTTATTAGAGGTGGATTATATTTTTAAACATTTTGCCACACTTGAATCATTCTGAGGACTGTAGTAATAAACCAACAGGGTCAACTACAGTTTGTTCCAAGAATTAAACTACTGAATGTAGAACAATGTGCATTTGAGATGTCAGCTTAAAATCCAGATGCAAATATCGACAGTTGGACAGTTGTGACCCTTGCTCAAGAAAAAGGTTAGAGGATTACAGATTGGAAATCACTCAACAAGTGAATCCTGGTGCCATAAGGGTGTACAAAAGCACCAAAAGTGAAAACAGGATCCGTAGAGGAGGCTCAGGACAGAGCCTGAAGCATAGTGCTGAGCTATTAGGCTCTTGGCAGGAGACTAACCTTCTGGTTAGCAGTCAAGTGCCTTATCCACTATGCCACCAGAGCTCCTGACACCAACAGTGATCATTTTTATATCACTGCAGTGGGTGTACTGCTGTGAAACAAGGCAAAAGTATTTTTGAAAAAAGAATAGACTATCATTCATTTTATAAAATGAAATGTTAACAGACATAAGATTCAGGTAAGGATAGGAGGGAGATTTGTTGGGAGCAGAACAGACCATAAAGACAGTGTCAAAACTCTGTGCCTGCTCCTTAGGAAAGAAAAACAAACATTTTGGCTGGGCCCTTTCTGATGCAAAAGGATCCTACCAATTGTCCTTTGTAAAGTAAAGGGCATATCTTAATTATTCAAAATGTAACATTGTCTGAATCTTATCTCATTCTGACATACTATTTTAAGCATCAGTTATTTTTCTCACATTGAACTCTTATGGGGTATGTGTTTAATTTTGGTTTCTATATTGAGAAATAAATCAATATCTTTAATGATAGTAAAAGAAAAAGGCTCAGAGTTCTCTGCCATCAGAATGTATTCTCACTGACTCATACATTCCTACAGAAACTCAAGATCTAATTTAAATGCTAAGTAAATTATTGGTACAGGGTGAAAACAGAAACTAACCATCTCTTTCATATCCTAAAGAAAGAGTATGGTATCTAAATATTTATATAATTATTGCACAAAATAAAATTCACAGCAAGCTGAAATGAAAAATACCTTCAGCAAAAAGGGAATGCTGTAATAAAATGTAAATCGAAAACAAACAGTAGATGCCTTAAAATAAAGTAGTACTTGGCCAATTTCATCAAATGGCCTGCTGCCAGTAGAGCTGGGGAAACTGAGAAAAGATAAAGTTGACAGGCTCATTTCCTGGGTTTGCTCCATTCATATTTATCTTTCCTGGCTTTGCAAAATGAGACTTCACCCTTAGTGAATAAGAATAAGGTCCACTGAGGACAAGATACACATATGACTATGCTGGAGATTTCAACACTACACAAAACAGAATATTGAAAAAATTTTTAAACCACATCTAAAAGAAATACCTCCTTCTTTCTTTTTCTCCAAAGAAAGAGAAGATCCAAGGGGCAAAGAGCTAGGGGATAATAATGAAAATAACTGCATTTAAATGTGTGAATCTGACAGGCAGAATAAACAGAGGCAGCCTTGTGATGGTGACAAATATGGCAAAAACACAGTCTTGTGAGAATACAAAGTGATATTATATCCAATAAGATTAAAAGTGCCATCGACCCTTCGACTTCAATTATATGATGACAGTTACTTAACTGCAAATGGTACTTCAGCCTCCCTGGGAAACAGCTTAGATTTTTCTGATGTATAAGATCAGGGATAATTTTACAGACAAATAAGTTTGAGTAATCCTAGAACTACAAACCTCTGAAAGCTAAGATTCAAGAAATAATGACTCATGCACATTAATTAAAGGAATTATGATGACAACGCAAGTGCATTGGTTGGAAGATTCCTCAAAGGTTAATATCAACTGAAATGAAAGACTCCAAAGTATGTGTGTGGGTGACATATTGAGTAGAGTGATAACAAGGTCTATTTTCCAGAGTTCTAAGCAAAATCTGTTGTAACTGCGTGAGACTGCTTGGATTTATGGCCTCTCTTGGGCAACATGAGACAGACAATCAGGACCATAAAATGTCTAAGATCATGACCTAGGAGAGAGTTTCATTTAGTACTTAGCTTTCTCTCAATCTTTCCCTTCTAAGTGGATATCAAGGTCAGCATGTCAAAGTTTTGATTTATTTGCCATACTCAGAATGTGGAAAGATTCCGAAGAGCCCATATAGGCAAAGTGGAGGAACCAGAGATTTTGGATATATCCATGTACATATAATCTATCCTATATTACCCCTGGTAGTGGAAGGAATGCCCTTTTTGTCTAGAGGAACACTAGAGACTATGAAAAATTAAGCCACTGAATAAAAAAGAACTGACTTTCAAGTTTGGTTCTCCAGAATTTATACATTCTAGTGTCATTAGAGATAATCATTGTTAACTTTTCTTTTTATTCCCCCGTCCAACAGAACCTTTTTATCAGAGGCTTATTTAGTGCACTGTACTCCCTGCCCTAGCCCTAGCTGTGCATCAGAATTACTTGTGGAGCTTGTTAAAAATGCAGGTGCCCATAGTCAACCCTAAATGACAGGATAATGCAAATTCCTCCTCTTTTCTTCATCAATATCTCAATCAAATCTCCTGAGGTCATTCCCAGGGAAGTGCTTTTGTAAGTTTCACAGATGATTTTGACTATAGTTAACATTTTTGTTGTTGCTGTTGTGAGGTACTGTCTAGTCAGCTCTGACTCACAGCAACCCTATGTACAACAGAATGAAACACTGCTCAGTCATGTGCCATCCTCACAGACCATGCTATATCTGAGCCCGTCACTGCAGCCATTTTGTTGAAAGTCTTCCCCTTTTTCAATGACCCTTT